TTTGTGTGGAGAGAGTGGTATTAGGGTTCATATTGTTGAGTTGCTGAGAGATCAAATCCATAGCTAAACTAGGGTTGGAGAAATTAGGGCTCTTGCTCTAGATTGTGTGTGATTTATTTTTGAAGAAGATGTGGTACTATAAGGATTGAACATACATATATATATTAAATAGCTAAAGAGATAGGTAGAAAGAGGCCTTAGGTACTTCCCTTGTACTGCAAAAGTAGTGAGATAGGGAAAGCTACAAAAAGGATAGATTCAGAATTTTTGCAAAAATGGTGAGGCAAAGAGAAACAACCTGAAAAAAATAAGAAGAGATCTTTTCTCTTACTTGTTTTGAAGATGAGAGATATAAGTGGCCGAGATCAAAAGTGAGATAGATGTCTTTCCTTTTCTTGCTTTTTTCTACTATTGTTTTGTGTGTGTTTTCATGTTTTCTGTTCTAGAAAGAGAAGATGTGTTGCAAAATAGATACACAATTGTCCGTATTTATAGCTGCAAGAACATCATAAAGTCATTTATATAGAAAGAGAGAGAAAGAAGATGGTAGAGGCATGAGACTGATGATCAGAAATCATAAATTTTTCCATTTAAGATACAAGCAAAAAGGAAGAGAAATAGGAGAAGGGGACTTGGTGTTACACAGTGTATAAAAGGTGAGTCTATAGGTGAGAGAGAGAGAGAGACTAATGGGTCAACTTGAGAAAGAGACAAATATTTTCACGATTTTCTTATCTGTCCTTATTTTTTTCTTTAAATAATAGGTGAATTCCGGATCAGAGTTCACATGTGGAATAACTATGTATACTTTTGTTATTTCAGTTATGCATTAACCTTTTCTTTTAAGACGTTTTAATGGTTTGTACATAGTGTAATTACTAATTACTATCGGGATTCGAGTTACATGTATTATTCTACAAAATTCATATTCTCCAAGATTAATCGAATCATATACCTAATGTAGCATGTAGAAACATTAACAAGTCATTGATCAATCTCCACACCAAGAAGTTTCCACTATCTTAGTTGTATTCATTGTATATGTTCAGTACGTTACATGTAATTACTGTTTTTGAAGGGTAGTTTTACACGTTAAAATA